ACAATACAAACAGTAGGGTGGTAGAAGGAATGGCCTAAACTATGGTATGTAACTACAGTGACTGATGGTCAAAGAACTAATGGCCTAAGCTATGATATGTAACTGCAGTGACTGAATTGGTAATGAAATTCCAGTGATCTGGTCTATGTCACCATGTTATCAACTTCTGTCATTTGGTGCAAGAGAATTGCATAAAAGCTAACTGAAACATACTTGCATTGATACAAACTCATATTCCATTCGTTGAACATGAACATGTTTATTACAGCTTGTAAACTGAAACATACTTGAACACATGGTTCAGTAGAGGTACTAAGCTGCCACTTCTACATGAAAACATGGTTATTACACCCAGAACAAGAAAAACAGCAGCAACTACAAGGCACACTGCTATAATTTTTCCTAGGTCTACCAACTTCTGTAGCTTTTCAGCTACTCTATCACTTCCATTCTTCAGAGACACTACATCAGCAAGCAAAGGTGTCAATTCAGTCTTGTTTGCTTCCACTACTCCCTCTAAGTGTCCAATTGCAATCTTGATCTGCTCAACTTCATTCATGGAATCCTCCTGCCTAATGCCAAGCGTCGTGATCCTCTCTTCTCTCCACCAATCCCTTGGCAATCAGCAGCTTCTCATACTTGTCGACAAACAAATACCAATGGCAAGTTGTAGAGTCCTACAATTTGTACAGTAAGACTACAACAAGAGTATCATCGTTGTTGAACAGGGAGGGAACAATTGAAGAGGTCAGCACTTGCATCTCTCTCATGGAGTCGACACTTGAAGAAGATGACCCCGGGACCTTAGATCCTGGACCCGAAGTGAGCTCAAGGATCTCCTTGCCGCATTTAGGGCACGGCACAAGGGACAGCCCAGTGCGTGCGCCCAATCTCAGGGGCCCAACCCTCTGCGCGGATGACGAGCTGCCGAGCGACATCGCAGACTGCGTGGAGGTGCTGCGGACCGAAGAATGCGGGCGTGGGCGGCCAGACCGGAGATGGCGGCCGTGGGCGGCGAGCAGCAAGCGGCAGGCGACGAGCAGCCTGAAGAAAATTGGGGAAGAGAAGGCCGGAGTACCAACTAATGAACAGAACATTGGCGGGGGTGAAAGCTCTAGTTTGGTTTTGGTGAATTGATGAAACCCTAAGTGCTAACCTAGTTTATCAAGTGATCATGAGATAGGTAGCACACTCCAAGTGGTGAAGCAAATGAAGATCATAGCATGATAAAGATGATGACATGGTGATGATCAAGTGCTTCGACTTGGAAAGAAAAAAGAGAAAAACAAAAAGCTTAAGGCAAAGGTATAATTTGTAAGAGCTATTTTGTTTTAGTGATCAAGACACTTAGAGAGTGTGATCACATTTAGGATTGATAGCCGTACTATTAAGAGGGGTGAAACTCGTATCGAAATACGGTTATCAAAGTGCCACTAGATGCTCTAACTCATTGCATATGCATTTAGGATCTAGTGGAGTGCTAACACCCTTGAAAATGTTTGTGAAAATATGCTAACACTTGTGCACAAGGTGATACACTTGGTGGTGTTGGCACATTTATAAAAGGAGATGGTGTTTGCAGGGTTGAGATGGGTTTGGGTCCCTCTCTCCCTCCCGCCGAGCTTACGAGGCGGAGACCTAGCGTCCGGTCAGAAGACCGAAGCCAGCATCTTCGCGATCAACTTGTTTTCACTTCTAACTTCTTCACCCTTGCTCTAATGTGCCAACCACAAGAATTTGCATCCGGCGCAATAGAAAATAGGCATTCCATTTTCCCGAAAGCGCCGAATCCGGTGTGGTTGGCACATTGGAGCAAGGGTGAAGAAGTTAGAAGTGAAAACAAGTTGATCGCGAAGATGCTGGCTTCGGTCTTCTGATCGGACGCTGGGTCTGAAAGCACCGGACGGTGGATCTGATTGCACCGGACGCTGACTGCCTGCGTCCGGTCGCGCTGACTCGGCGGTACAGTGGCTAGGGTATACCACCGGACGCTGGCTGAGTCCGATCGAGGTGGACCGGACGCGTCCGGTCGAAGAAAAATGGATTTGGACCCTTACTGTACTCGACCGGACGCTGTGGCTCCAGCGTCCGGTCGGTTTGACTGGAGCGTCCGGTCAATACTTAGCCGTTAAGATCTGACGGTTCAGTTTTAACTCGGAATGACACATGGCAAAAATCAGTGGACCGGACGCTGTGTCCAGGGTCCGGTCAAGTGGACCGGAGCGTCCGGTCAGAGCGCAGAGTACCCAGTGAAGGGGTACAACGACTCTATTTCGTGGGGGCTTTTATTTAAGCCCCATGGCCGGCTGTGGCTCACATCTTTGGCCATTTCTACTGACATAGCATACTTGTGAGCTTAGCCAAAGCCCTCCCACTCATCTACATCATTGATTCATCATCATAGTGAGATTGGGAGTGAATCCAAGTGCATTGCTTGAGTGATTGCATCTAGAGGCACTTGGTGATTGTGTTTCGTTGCGGATTTCGCTTGTTACTCTTGGTGGTTGCCGCCACCTAGACGGCTTGGAGCAGCAAGGATCGTTGAGTGGAGGAGGTGATTGTCTCCGACTCCGATCGTGGTGATTGTGAGGGGTTCTTGACCTTTCTCACGGCGGGCGCGCTAAAAGGTACTCTAGTAAATTGCTTGTGGCTTGTGTGATCCTCATCTTGTGTTGGTTGTGCGGCACCCTATTGAGGGTTTGGCGAGTGATGCCAATCAGCGACGTGAACCTCCAAGTGAGTGAATCGCCACAACAAGGACTAGCTTGCCGGCAAGCAAGTGAACCTCGGTAAAAATCATTGTGTTCATTATTTGATTCCGAGGTGATTGGTCTACATTGGTATTCATTATTGTGATTGATTGGTTCCTATCACTACACGGCGGTATAACTCTCTTGCTCACTCTTACATTACCGCAAACTAGTTATCAAGCTCTTTAGTGTAGCTAGTTATGAGAGCTTGTTTGTTTGATTAGTGTTGCTCTTTAGTTAGTCTTTGAGAGCACACTAATTTAGCTAAGTGTCATAGCTTTGTGTGGACATACACTATTCGAAATAGAATTGTGGTAGGTGGCTTGCATTTTCGTAGGCTAGCGCAACACTCGCTTCGCCGCAAAATTGTCTATCACATTTTGTTAAGTGTTGTTGTAGAATTTTATTAGGCTATTCACCCCCTCTAGCCATTAGGACCTTTCAGGGGGTTTTTCTGCTAAATTGGCATGACCTTGCCCTTCATCTCGCCACTGCACACACTGCACGCACGTCGGATTATGTGGTCGACGTGGTCTTGATCTGGACAACTCACGTGTGCCACGGAAATAGATCAGGGACCTAGATAGTTGGTTTAATAGTTTGAGGACGTAGATAGGAAGGAGCCAATAGTTTGAGGACCTACAGTGCATTTTACTCCAAAGAAAAAGCCCTAGTACTTCTACAAAAACACACTATATCAAGCCCGTAGGGCATCACACTAAGCATGTCCTTAAAAGATTTCCAAGAAAGAAAAACATGGTAAGAAAATCTACTATAAAACTTCACACCATGATTAAGGCATAGAACAAAATATACGGCAACAAATGAAAAGCTCATGGAAGCAAAGGGAGGACAACCAAGTTTTTCTCGTGGTGTCAAGTAGTTGCCACTACCTGCTAATCCACGTTGCAAAAATCTGGATGTTGTGACTGAGGGCCCGTTTGGTATTGGCTCTTTCAGAGGAGCCAGAGTACTTGATGATGAGCCACTTTTTTGTGGCTTCGCCTTTTCATCCCAAAATGGCTCTAGCTCCTACTATTCACCAGAAAACGGCTTCTCCTCCTAAAGTATTTGGTACAACTCTTCTACATAAGCTGTTGTCGAAGCCGAAGCCAGAGTCATGCCAAACAAGCCTAAATTTAAAAAGGAGGGATACCGAGCGAGAAGAAATATGATACCGAAAAAATAATTAATGGATCAATACAAAACAACAAAACCCAATCTTTTTTGCTCCGGCCCACGAGCTGCGGGGCTGAATTGGAACTGACAGGGCAACGGGCGGGATTCATGGGCCCCGTCCGATGGAGCCCTGAACGCTATGTTGCCGGAGAACGTCTGAATTAGGAACGGACCCAACCGCCTCCCGGGTGGCCGAAAGGTCAGCTGCTTGATTTGTTTTTGCCATGATTTGGTTACTTAATAGACTGAACAGGTTACATCTTTGAATTTCTGTACAAACAAGATTTGATGGTGTCCACGGATTTATAGTAGTACATACATGTTTCGACAGGTGTGGAATTTAAATCCTCACGTCACGTCCTACCCTAATGAATTATGCAACACACAGCCAGCTAATTTCGTGCAACATGGATGCCTCTTTCTCCTGCAAGACTGCAAGAGGGGCTGCCATTTGTTAATTTGATTGACGCAGTCGTCTTATTCTACTCAATTATTGGCCACGATCCGTTTAGGCCCTATTCACTTGTCTTATAATCCGTACTTTTCAGCTTGTTTTTTCAGTCGAAACAGTGTTTTTCTCTCACAACAACGGAACAGTGTTTCGGCTTGATTTTCAGCGAAGCGAACGGGGCCAAAGTCCCGCCGGCGTTTATCACTCCAAATGTTCAAATTTCCATATGGAGCAACCGGACTGATCAATGTGAGTCTGCATCACTGAATCAGAATCACACTGTCTGAATTCGTTGTCATGCCAGTGTATCGACAGAGTTGCACGCAGCACCAGAATGGAAATGAAATGGAGAACATCCATCTCATCCATAGCTAGCAAAAGCAATTGCAAGATCCCCTGTCCACCTGTACTTCCATCGTCTTCGTGTCTCCCCACCACTCACTCTGCCAACCTACGTGAACGCCACCTCCACCCATCCGGGCATCAATTCACCATCATATATAATCATCGTGCAATAACCACTACAATCCAGCCTCTGAATCGCATCCAACGATCGTCGCCCCGCCGGATCTCGCGCGCACACACCAGCTGAAATCATTGCGCTCGATCGATCAATTGCAATGCCGTTGTGCTGCGTAGAGTGCAAGCCATGCAACGGCCACTGCCTGCCAGGGCCGCCGGGGGGGCTCTTCAAGAGCCGGCGCCCCGCGCAGCTGCTCCGCCGCGCGCTCGGCAAGATGAAGGTGGGCGGCACCCGCAGGCGGCCCCGGCGCCCCGGGAGCTTCAGCTCCGTCCGCGCGGTGTTCTGGCCGCTCATGTCCATGCTCTCCGAGGCCGACGCCCGCCCGCCGACGGACTCCCCTGACGACACCGTCAGCAGCGGGGCGCGCGCACCGCCTCCGTCCGTGCAGGACGACGGGCGCCGCGCCGCGTCGACGACGGTCGAGCGGGTGCTCGCGCTGCAGGCCCGGGTCGGCGGCGAGGCCCCGCGCTCGCCGCCGCCGCCGCAGCAGCTGACGACGGCGGTGGCGTCCAAGGTGAGTGTGGCGGCGGCAGGTGACGAGGCGAAAGCCATCGTCGTCAGGCAGGGCGACGTCGGCGGCAACGTGGAGGCAGCGTGCAGGAGCTTCGAGAGGCACCTGATGGAGAAGCTGGTGGAGGAGCGGAAGGTGATGGACCTGACGGACGTGGAGGAGCTGCTCTGCTGCTGGGAGAAGCTGAGGTGCCCGGCGTTCGTGCGCCTGGTGGGCCGCTTCTACGGCGAGCTCTGCATGGACTTCTTCTCCTCGGCCCAAGACGCCGACGACGTGTGGTCCTCCCACCAGTCAGAGGACCTCAGCGTCTGACGTCTGAGTCTCACATGGGCAACCAATCGGACCAAAAAAGGCCTTTCTGCCATGAGCCCACGACACACCAAAGCTACTGTTTGAGCTGTCCTGTAGTTGTTTCCTATTGTGTGCGTCATGCATGTTTCTTCCAGTAGCAAATTTTGTTGGTTTTCTTCTTGTTCTTGAAACTTTTCAAGCGGAGTCACAAAAAGAGAGAGAGAGAAACTTTTCAAGTGAGAAATCGGTGTTGCTTTGTGAAATTTGTAGCCGCACTTGTGCAGAACCAGAACTGACAGAAAAGCAGCAGTTGGTGCAAGGCTTTACCCAAGAATATGACAGCCGCTGGCTGCATCAATTGTATCTACATAATCTATGATATGATAGCGTCCATCTCCAACCTAGCAAAACCTGGACTGATGTGAGTATATGCATACTACATGACATGCTATTAGTAGTCCACTGGTTGAGATTTTTGTTGCTGTCTGTGTCTGATTTGTCACTCTAGGTAACCTTTGTTATCCGGTGGAAAAGTTGCAGCGGCATTATCCGCTTATCTGGAACCACTTTCATCGTTGCGGTGCCCTAGGCAGGTCTCAGCAATTAACAACTACTCCTTCCTAGAATGTGCGATCCATGTTGGCTGTAGAGCAGAAGCTCATGAAGCTGTAGGGATCAATCCATCACTGTGGTCTTCCTCTCCGCTGACCCTCCTTTTCTATGTGTGTGTTGTTTTTTTTTTTTTTTGAGATTCTAGCATCGATACCAGACAGTAGGTGGTTGGATTGAGCGGCCCAGGGGCCCAGCCCAGTAGGACGGTGATGCCATAGGCTTTTCAATTTATCCCAACACCCTCTTTCTACCCCAGCTTCTCTCCTGCACCCTCTCTCTGTCGTTCTCGTTTTCCCGAAAAAGTCAAACACTTTCAAGTTTGACCAAATATATATAAGAGAATATTAATATTTATGGTGCATAATTAGTATCATTATATAAATCATTGAAATATATTTACGTAATAAACTTATTTAGAGATACAAATATTGTTAATATTTTTTATAAAACCTAGTCAAATTTAAGAAAGATTAACCGGCACGAATCCCATAGCGATACTCTTTTAGGGATGGAGGGAGTATGTTCTTCTTGCCCCATTCTTCTTCAACCCCATCTTCTCCACTGGAATGCAGTCACTTTTTCTCCACTATTGCCTTTGCAGTATTGATCCCAATTGTTTGTCCGGGAAGAGGAACCCATGAACTACCCCTTGGACATATGACCATGAGTTAAACACATTAGCGACCTCTAAACTTGTCAAGAGATGTCACTTAGGTTCACGAACTTTGAAAACATATTTTTGGGTCCCTAAACTTGTTAAATAGTGCATCGCACATCCCCAAACCTATAAAATGGTGCACCACTTAACAAGTTTAAGGACTTAGAAATGCATTTTTGAAGTTTGTGGATATAAATGACAACCTTTGGCAAGTTCAGAGGCCGCTCATGCATTTAACTCTATAAGCATTGTACTTACGGCTCTGTAAAACTCATAAAATTAGATGGTGTCTATCACTAGTGGTAGAGGGAAGAAGGGGGCCAAACCCCCTAAGTTAATGTATTTTCATTAAAAACTTTTAAATTCAACCACATTTTACTACAATTTCTACCATTGGCTTCCTTAACAAATAAAATTCACATTTTTTACTCCGCTATCGTCGGTCATTTTCGTGGAGTTGTACAATTGTTGCTACTGCATCCAGAGATTAACAAATTGTACAAGGGCAGTGCGAGTGCTTATCCACCGTAAGGCCTTCCTCAGTGGATAATTTCATAGAATACAATAAAATATGGATGAAACAATCACTCTTCATAATGTATAGATTCATTCTTTTATTTCATAAACATTTGATCATGTGACTCGCCTACAGGTGGAAACCAAACCAAGAAAGTTTCATCTACATGAAACTCACATCTTCTCTCTGTTCTTGAAACATTATAAAAATATTTATGTGGCAGCATATTAAATGCATATGAAATGTTTATGAAACTCCCACTAAGACTGATGGCGCACATCTATTTGTGTTCCTACGACGTCGTGCATTTGTTTACCTTATAGCATATCCAGCACTACTACCTAAAATAGACCCCTCCTACTTTTCTATTTAGGTAGCCACCTACTTTTAGGGGCTCTGTTTTCCACTGCTATCTTCAGCAAGAGTACATAAAACAAGGCTCTCAAATTCATTCCAGCAGAGAATGACACGTGGGATCTGTATGTTATCCTCTTTCGTACCCTCATCGCCATTGACAAACACGGTCATCTCACGAGGGCATCATGCCGAGAGGTCTACCCACGCGACACACATAGGAGGATGGGCGGCGGTGCCAACGGCGACTGGGCATCAGAAGATGGAGAAGATGCCGGCGGGGTTCCGGATCCGGCCGAGGGAAGGTCCACATCGACGAAGCATCCTGTGGTGGATGGGAGGGAGGGCAGCGGCGTGTGGGAGTTAGGTGTGCAGGTGGAAAACCACCGGACTAGAATATAGGTTGGACCAATAGAAATAAGCAGTGGAAGGGAGTATTTGGGGAACCAACAAATTTGGATGGTCAAAAGTAGAGTCGGAGGGATCTTGGAGGCATGCTGGATAGTCCGGGCAAAGAAACTCTTAGCTTGAAAAACAACACACTTCCGAGGACACAGGCTCCACGATCTGCTTTGGTTTGCTAAGGACGACTGGTTGATTGCCTTGCCTCGCCCGCTGTCGTCAGGTTAGTTGCAGCTCTGGGAGACTGGGACGTGTGACCTCGGCACACGGATCGGAAGCCAATATGCATCTGGAGATGGTATATACTACTACTTGTCGACCGGAGACGACGTCACTACATGCATGCATGCAGCCAGATCGAGATGGTATATAGTACTACTTGAGACCTTGACTTGTCCAAAGCAAAGTTTGGCGCAGGCCAATCGCCGGCGGCGGCGGCGCGGCGTTGCAGCTTCTGGAAACGAGCGACGAGAGGGCTTCCAGAAAAGAAATTGGGCTTCCAGAAAATAACGACGCCACGAATTGATTTTTTGTCTCCAAATTAAACACGCTGCCTGCTGCCTATCGATCATAGTAGTAGTTGGAATATAATCGCTTGCATGCATGCATTGCATGAAAACGAGGAGAGGGCATGGCAATGGCAAATTAGGCAGACGTGACGTGCATATGAACAAACAAGCGACGAACGACCGTCGTTTTTCCCCACACCGCACATGCATGCATGTGCGGAACCACTGCTGACCGATGGACGTACGTGCAGTGCGCATGATCCCGGTCGGCACGAGGACGTACGTACGTACGCTGAGCACGCAGGTCGGCCTATGCATGCAATATGCGGATTGCGGACTAGCTAGCTACAAGCTACTCGGTCGATCCCGAACCCCGGCCCGGCCGGCGGGCACCATGCAACATGCCAACATGCATGGGACACGTATGTACCGATGCACCGATGCACGGTGGGTCGGTCAGTCGGGGACCCCAGACTGGAATCCTGCGGCGTGCCGGTCTTTCGTTGCAATGGAGCATGCATGCATCCAGAGCTAGCGCCGAAAGGCCCCAATTCAAAGACCTGAAAGCGACATGCAATCATGCGAGCTCTTGTTACACAGCACGTGACCATGTGGCTACTAGTGCGCGTCGTGGCCACGCCACGATGGACGATGACAAGATAAGCATCAACGTACGACCAGAATTATCTATATACACACAGCATATAGCGCGCGGTAAACAAATATAAAAAGTGACAATCACAGGATCACTATATTACGCCGTTCACGTAGCAATCTAGCTAGCAGCACTATGTCAATAATGTGGTCACGACCACCCCGTCGACGTCCAGGTGATGAGCCGCAAATTAATAAAGTGACGATGAAGGCAACACCGATTCTTGGAAGGCCCTGCCTTGTCTGCCGGTCTATTCTTATTTTTCAATCCCCCCTGTCGTTTACACTGGACATTGTGTATGTATTATAGTACCCACACACATCTTACCATACAAGCACACTTTCGAAAAACAAATTGAACCGATACACAGACCCAAAAAATGATATCCAACCTAAGACAAACTAGATGCTTTTTTCATTAATCATTATTAAGAAAAAAATAGACATCCAACAAAAAAACAATATCCAACCTAAAAGGAACTAGATATTTTTCATTAATCATTTTATTTATTATTTATTAAGAAGAAAAATAGAAATTCAAATGCAGTTTATGAGAGAACTTGAACGTAGATGGTTGTATTATGAGTTTATGACCACACCTCCCACCTAACCAGTTAGGCTAGGCTCATTTCCTTACCGATACACAGACCCACTCATATAAACACACACGCATGCATACACTACTAGAGAACAGACTTTAGAACGATGTCCCAATTTGGCATTAGCCTCGGTATTTTTTGCCCCCGGGACTAAAGGTTCCTGCCCAACGGTCGTCCGCGGGACAGGGATCTTTAGTCCCGGTTGGTAATACCAGCCGGGACTAAAGCGTTTAGTCCCGGTTTGGGTGATGTCCCAGGAATAAAGATTAATCTTTAGTCCCGGTTTGGCCCCCTATCCGGGACTAATTATCCTAGCCTATAAACCAGCTCATTTCTTCCTCCCCGAGCCCGAGCCATTCCATTCAAACTCACTACCTCTGTTCTTCAGCTTGCTGTTGTTCTTGCTCTCTCCCCCTCCATTGGTGTTGCTTTTTGATTTTGGAGGTAACAAACTTAATCCTCTTATGTTTTATCAGTAGCTTATCTTATTTTGCGATGTAGATGTATGTGTAACTTTATATGTTGGACTTTATTATGATTTTATGTCATTTTTAGCTCAAAATCACATGATGATTTACATATATGTTTGGATAAACAAAAGTTAAATTAGTTCATCAAAATCTTACGTGATCTTAGAATTAAATTTTCCATGAAATGAAAAACTTAGAAAATACTTAGAAAATTATAGAAAATCCGTACTAGTTGAACTTGCGGAC